ACTGGCTTCCCATAGAAGTCCAGGCTCAATTCAAGGTGTTGGTAATCACCTATAAAGCCCTTAACGACTTGAGACCTGGATACCCAAAGGAATGCCTGCGTCCATATTTGCCCTCCCGCCCCTTGAGATCAGCAGCAGAGGCTCTCCTCCGGGAGCCTTCCGTGAGAGATATCAGGAAGCAAAGTACCCGGAAGAGGGCTTTCTCTGCGGTGGCGCCCCATCTGTAGAATGCGCTCCCCAGAGAGGTCTGCCTGGTGCCGTCCTTATTTGTTTTTCGGTGCCAGGCCAAGACCATTTTATTCAAACAATATTTTAACATTGTTTAACGTTTATAGGTTTTAATTGTGCAGCCAGGGTGTTTCTGGGTTTTAATTGTTATTGTTACTTATATTGTATTTATTTACTTCTGTGAGCTGTCCCGAGGCTATATAGCAAGGGGATGGCATATAAAAACTTTAAATAAATAAAACAAAAAGCAAACAAAAAAACCCAGTGAGCTAAACCCACATAACACAACAAGCCACCAAGCCAATTTTCACCCAGAATATCCTTGGATTGCATAGTTGCAATTTCTGCCAATATGCAGTCCTGCCAATTTGCTGTGAATTTCAGACTAATATTTCTGGTACATACAAAAAGCTTCCCCACTGCAGTAGTCGCTTTATATTTACTATTCTTGAGAAATAAATACACTTAGGTTGAAAACTTTCTTGGGGAGGATCTACCCTTTCATGTATGAATTAGCTGCTGTTATTTTTTGAAAATAGTTGTCCTGGGAACAAGCACTAATGAATGGAAAGCATTATCCACTATGTTAATAATTTAATTGAGTACCACACATAAAGGAAATTGTGGGAGAAGTAGTAGATGTTCCAATGGTCACGTGTTCTTTTGCTGTATTTGTAAGCCCACAAAACAAACATCCATATATATGGATGCCAGTGTGGTGTAGTGGTTAAGAGCATGGGACTGGGACTCAGACGATCTGGGTTCTAGTCCCCGCTCAGCCATGGGGCCAACTGGGTGACTTTGGGCCAGTCACAGACTCTCAGCCCAACCTACCTCACAGGGTTGTTGTTGTTGTGGGGATAAGATGGAGGAGGAGAGATGATGTAAGCTGCCTTGAGCCCTTTGTAGGAAAAAGGCAGGATATAAATCAATCAATCAATATATACAGGTGCAGTGGTGGGAAAATGGGAAAGCATGCTATGTCAGTCCCCCCTGCCCCCCCATGTGTGTGACTGCATGCACACCTTTGATGATGTACAGCAACTGAAGTTTAAAAATAAATTGTGTGGTAATTCACAGCTGCACTGTTCCATAAATGTACAGCCAAAAGTAGCTGCAGGGGAAAAAAGATGCAGACAGAAGCTGAGGAGGTCATAGTGCCACTACTCTTGTCCTCTTCCTGCTTGGGTTCAGGTAAAGTCAGTATGCCAGCAAGTTTCAGAGAAGGAAGCATCCCAGGACTGCACACAGGGAGTTGCACTTCTAGTACGGCTGTGTGGAAAAGTGCTGGTCACTAGCTGTTCCCTTTTCCTCAAAGCCCCCTCTTTCCCTTTAACAAAAAGCATTTTTCAGAACCCAGTGTGCCCCTTATCCATGCTATGCCTATTATCTTGTAGCTTTCCTCTTCCCTTGCTGTCTTACCAAGAGTAAACACTACTGAACAAAATGTGATTTACTTCTGGGTGTATATTATTGCATTGTCAGCTAGCAGATTTTGAGGTAAGGAAATGAGCAGGAAAAGGGGGCTCATTGGGTAAGCTTGGAAAATCATTTGCTGAGGGAGGGAGGGAGGAAACTTTTCTTTCTTCCTGAACTTTTCTTTCCTCAGAGGAGGCAGAAAGGTGAGGGGAAGCAATAGTCATTTCATTTCCCATTTCCCTAGGTAAAGCAGAGTGAGACTGAAGAGAACAGAGGATGGAACTCTTTCATGGGGAGGAAGTCAGAAAAGCTGTCAAGAAAGGCTGATTATCATCCTCCACAAACTCACTACTATTTTGTTTCTTTTTTTAAACAGTAATTTTCAGTGTGCATATGCAAAATCTGTACCTGCTTGGAACAACTCAAGAGGAAAAATATGTTATGACATGAAGCTCTGCATTGTCAAATACTGTCAAAAATATACACATCTGTTCAGCCTAGGAAACAGTCTAATTCTGGTAAGCCTGCTGGTGAGAAGAACTGACAGTATGGTGCAATAATACTGGGATCACATTTGGTATTTTGTAGACTTTTTTGCCAGCAGAATGTCTGAAAAAAGTACATATATGTGGCTAAGGTTGTGAACATCTTAAGTGTTCAAGTGACATGGCAGAAGGGAACCTAAGCAAGGCATGGTGTAGAGAAAGTGAACAGGAGACCTTTTTCTTTCATAATATTTGATCTCAGGGTCCTTTGGTGGGAGATTCAGGAGAAACAGAAGTACTTCTTCACACAGCGCATACCTAAATATTGGAATTCACAATCACAAGATGCCGTGACGGCCAGCAATTTGGATAGCTTTGAAAGAAGACTGAACAAATTCATGGAGGGCAAAGCTAGCAGTGGCTACTAATCCCGATGGCTATATGCTACCTCTAGTTATTTAAAACACACAACACACACACACACACACACACACACACTTTCTTACTGGGAGCTGGGGTTACTGTGACATAGGTTTCTGGTGGTTCTGATGAGTTGTTCAAGGGAGTTGTTTAGCCTTTGTGGTGGGCAGGAGCTTAGACCTCACCCCAGTCTTCTACTTAGTTCTTTGGGCAGGTCATTTGCTTTGCCATGTTTCCTATGGCAGCCATTTCGTGGTCATGCCCCAGACAGTTTCTCAAACTGCCAGGTGTGTCTACAGTCCATGAAAGGTTATCTACTACCATCACTGAAGTGATGGCAGCTCTGTGAATGAGCTGGAAGTGGCCAAGGGCTTATTTTGGACAGTAAGTCTTCTACAGGGTTTCATGCTTGATTTCCACAAAAAGCAAGTTTTTAGCTAGGCATCTCAAGGGTGACAGTCTTTTTCAGTAAGAGAGAGTGAATGAAGTGAGCAGGCCCAAATCTATGGGGTATAAAAGGAACTGGAAACAATCAGCCAGCTTCAGCCAGGCACTCTGAGGCTCAGAAAGCCTCCTTAGGTGTGGCGCCCCCGCTGTGGAAAGCACTTCCCAGAGATACTTGCCTGCTGCTCTTGCACTTTCTGGAGCCAGGTGGAGACATTTTAATTTTCCCAGGCCTCCCTCACCTTTTCCTATTGTTAAAATCACTCTTTCCTTTCCGTCAGAAGAGAAAAATATTCCAAGTATGCAGAGAGTTCTTTTTAAAACTTTATTGCAACAAAGAGAACAGAAAAAATGGTCTCCTTCCATTTTCCTGTTCACATGCTCACATCCCTTTTTTATGCTGTGCCTCCAGCCGCTTCTTCCCTCCTTTCCCCTCATTGGCCGGGGCACTGGGAGTTTACAATCTTTCCCACCCGCCTACTCTGTGCTGTTCCAACACCGGCCCTTCTTCCCAATTCAGACCTGCCCCTGGTGAGCTACAATAGGCTCATTTTGTTCTGCCAAGCTTGTCAATAAACAATCTGGAAGTATTTGGTCCTCCTGCCTACGTGCCTGCTTTCCCACTTTGTGCTACCTGATTTTAGCCCCTCCCCTCCTTTAGGCCAAGTAATCTTGCTACCTTTTAAATCTTGCTACTCACTTGTTTCAAATCATCCTTTCACATCTATCACCATTTGAAAATGTCTTAAAATGTTGGTATTTCTTGTACATTTTGTAATAGACTGGTTTTATTCTCTGCTGCTTACCTTTTTTACACAGCATTTGCACACGCACATTGATTCTTTCAGCTTTGGCTGATCATCAGCTGCACCCCTACCTGGAGAATGACTGCCTGGCGACAGTGACACATGCGCTGGTGACTTCCCGACTTGACTTCTGTAACACGCTCTACGTGGGGCTGCCCTTGAAGACAGTCCGGATACTTCAATTGGTTCAAAATATTGCTGCCAGGCTGCTGATGGGGACTGGGCGTTACGTTCATATGACTCCAGTTCTCCGTCAGCTTCACTGGCTTCCCATTGAAGTCCGGGCCCAATTCAAGGTGATGGTTATGACCTATAAAGCCCTTAACGGCTTGGGTCCTGGTTACCTGAAGGAGCGCCTACGTCCATATATGCCCGCCCACCCCTTGAGATCAGCGGGAGAGGCCCTTCTCCGGGAACCCTCCGTGAAGGAAATTGGGAGGGTAAGTACTCGGAGGAGGGCATTCTCTGCGGTGGCGCCCAATCTATCGAATGCGCTGCCCAGTGAGGTCCGCCTGGTGCCGTCGTTATTTGTTTTTCGGCGCCAGGCAAAGACCTTTTTATTCAAACGTTATTTTAATTGTTAATATTATTTATTTATTTTATTCTTTGGCCAGGGTGACTTAATTTATACTGTTAAATTATATTGTTTTATGTTATTTATTTATGATTGTGAGCCGCCCCGAGGCTTCGGCGAATGGGGTGGCATAGAAGTTCCCTAAACAAACAAACAAAAAAACAAATACTTGTCTACTTGCATTTTTGCTTTTCTTGTAAATGTACGCTGCACAGCGAATTTCTTCATTGGGCAGCATATATATGCTTAATAACTCTGCAGGAGCGACACTCTGCCTGCCTGCCTGCCTCAGCAAAGCGTGGGGCTCGAGAGAAAGCCCCTGCCCGTAGGTTGCTCTCCGTAATCCCTCCTCAGCTGCCCAGTAGCCCCCTTCGCGTCGCCTCCCTAGTCATCCTCACACGTGGCGCGAAGGAGAAGGACTTCGCGGAAGCCTGGCAGGCTCCGCAGCTTGGAAAGGCCGGCCGTGGCACGCGGGAGGGACAGTCCGATGAGGCTTCCACCGCGCCTGGCTGCCGGCGAGCTGCTCGCCCTTCCTTTCTTGGGAGAGAGGCGTCTCCTCTCGGATCCGGTTTCTCCGCGACCGCCCTCTCCCGCAGCGTCGTCCGGGGGCACGCGGGCTTCTGGGAGCCGCCTGGACCTGCCGCGATGGGAGCGCCGTGGGCTTTGGCGGGGATGGCGCTTGGCAGCCTGCTTGCCGCAACCCTCGGTAAGGTCGCTGGAGGGGAAAGACGCGGCTGCGAAGGAAGGGGCACCCCCCCGCCGCTTCGGGCCACGCGGGTGGGATGGGGCTCTCCCGGGGCAGGGGCGGCCGAAGGGGCGAGGGTACCGCTGCGCGATGACGGCAGGTGGTCGTTTGGGGCCCTGCCCCTGGAGCAGAAGCTCTACCTCTCGCCGCCCCCCTCCCCAGAAATGTGGGTCACGGGTCTGCCGCCGAACTGGCGGTAAGGGAAGGCAAGGTGGAGCTGGCGCTTCTGCCTTTACAAGCAAAGCTTGGTTTGATCCTGGGGTTAGCATGGCAACCTGTTTTTCATCCAACCAATGTAAGAACCAAGAGTACCTCTGAGCATGTATAAAATGACCTAAAACCTCTGAATCAACAAAACCAGCCTTCACAGAGGTGGGATTAGAATGGCAGGCTGGATGTTAATTTCTCCTTTGGAGTTTGTGTAAATAAAGTGGTGTACTTTTCCCACTGCGGTGTGCTGCTGGTGCTAACACATGTATTCAGTTTCTCAAAGCTTTTTATCTGGGGATAGTGCCTAAAACTGAACAATGGCATCTTTTTCGTGATGCCATCTTTGCCACTGTGGAGCTGCGCTGGATTCATTCTCAGAGAGCCTGGAGTCAATACCAGTCACCACTCTGTGGATTTCTTAGTGACAAACCTGTGAGCAGGAACCAAGAGGAATCCATTACTTTGTTTGCCATGATCATTTGGCTTAGCACTATGCAGTGCCAGGGCCAGCTGTCTCAGGTGGTGGTACTGGCCTGAAAGGGCAGCAGATTGTAAATCATTTAGTTTATCATGACTGCATTTTTATGGTTAGGAAGGGCGAAGAGGTGCTTGTGGGATTTTTTGCCCATCAGTTTTATTTGGTGTGAAAATAACTTGGCCGGGCTTGGTATGACACACTTGGACTGGCACACAGCATCCAGGGCAGGGGATGGGGAAGCCTTGCTCCTCCCCCCCAGGCACCCAAGTGTCATGGGCCAGCCTTGTGGATATTGAACCCTTCGACTGGCATTTCATTGCCATATCAGTCTTAGGAGCTGGGAAACCAAGAAGTAGGTACATCCCTCACCCCATTGATACACAAGCCATGAAAGTTCTAATGTGCACTACTCGGATGAATGGTATCTGTGTGAGACTGTGAATGTTCCTTCATCTCCAGGAAGTTTGCCAGGGGAGAACTTCCAATGGTATCTGCAGCTTGTACCTATTTTGATAGCTGGCATCAGTCCAGGCCTGTTTGTTTTGTTTTTGGGGCGCCATCAGCTTCCTGGAAGCCAGTAAAAATGCAAATACCAGAGCTGGTGCCTTCTCCTTCATGCCACATCCTTGTTGAGCTCCTAGTGGATGATGGTGCTGTATAAAGTATTTTTGTCTGTGGTTATAAAAAGGAAGGCAACTCCATAATGATAGGGGATCTGAGGAAGTTAAATATCCTATTCAGTGTGAGATCTTAAAATACATGAGCTATTTGCAGAGATGTGGAATTTTTCCCTTGACCTGAGTGTACAGAGTGGCTTAGCACTCGCTGCAGCCTCATTCCCTCTAAACTTTGTTGCTATGTTCTGGAAAAGTGTGGTCATTTGACCACAATGAGTAAAGTTTGTCTAATACACTTTTTGTTTTGCCTGTGTTCTTTTCTTTGACTATTCAGATTATTATTCTACAGTATAGGATTTGGAGGACTGATTTAGTTATTTAAAAAAAGTACACTGCTAGATGCTAGTATGCTGCACATTAGAATGCAGGTGTACAAAGACATATTTTAATGCAGTTTCATGTCAAAACTGTATTGAAAGTTAACATGCTAAGGAAAAGCTGAGAATGAAATGTAGTAATACTTTTTGTCCATTTAAGATGCAAAACATTGGGCACCCATATGATCATATACTTGCCTTGTATTTAGTCACACCTTTGGTCCATCTTGCCCAATACTGGCTATCGTTAGTGGCAGCAGCTCTTTAGCATCTAAGACTTTCCAGCATCTAATCCTTTGACCCTCAAAGGATCTCCTCCATGCAAACCATCACTGAGCTAAAGCCCATCCCATTATCTACATGTATTGGCTGTTTTGTAACTCTGTGGCAAAGTGGAAATTACAGATAGTGCAAAATGCAGTGGCCCAACTGTTCTCTGGCATGTCTGACACACCGTATGACATTGCTTTTTTAAAGCTGCGCTGGTGTACAGTTTATTTCTGAGCCTAATTTTGAGGTGCTGGTAATTTGGTCGTTCCATCAGAGTTTTAATGCCTGTATTACTATGCCCTGCTTTTATCATAATATATGTGTTTTTCATTTCCCTTTATCATTTTCCAATTTTGATGTATTTAATTAGTTTCATTTATGATTTAATTTTTATCAAAAAAAATGAATGAGAAACAGTGTGGTCAAAACCTTAGCATTGGAAAACAAATGTATATTCTGTCTTTGGAAAGTATAGACTTCCTCTCAAAGGAAAGGGACTTCTATCACTAAATGATATCTCTGTTGTTCCAACCAAGGTGCTGCTTACTACCTCCTTAGAAGATCAAGGAAATATGAACTTTCCATTAATGTGTGCATTTCTGAGGATGGAGGGGTAGCTGTTACCGTGTTTCCCCAAAAATAGGACCTACCCCGAAAATAAGACCTAGTCTTATTTCGGGGTAGGTCCTATAATATAAGCCCTACCCCGAAAGTAAGACCTATTACCAAAAATTATTGCTAATAGGTCTTACTTTTTTTGCTTACTTGCAGAGTGCCAGCGGGGTGCAGAGGGCGCAGCAGGAAGATGCAGAGCTGCTTGAGCTGATACTTCCTCTATAGTCCTGGCTCCTGTGAAGGGCGGAGTGATATCAAATGCACTCCGCCTGTCACAGGAGCTGGCACTATAGAGGAAGCATCGGCTCATGCCACTCTGCTTCCTCTGCTGCCTGTGACAGTACCAGTAGCAGGCGCTGGAGAGGATTGGTGTATACAGCTTTTGGCAGCAATTGGGGTGCAGAGCAGAAAGGTGCAGAGTAGAGGTGTGCACAGCAGAAAGGTGTAGAGTAGAGGTGTGCACAGCAGAAAAGTGCAGAGCAGAGGTGTGCACAGCAGAAAAGTGCAGAGCAGAAGGGTGTACATTAAATGTACATTTTGTACATTAAAAAAATAAGACCTACCTGAAAATAAGACCTAATGTGTTTTTTTGAGCAAAAAAAAAAAAAAAAGACAGTGTCTTATTTTTGGGGAAACACGGTACTTCTATAGCTGAATATTCTCATTGGGGATAATTTGATGAAAGTGTACATAGCAGAGAAAGTAGAACTTGCAATGTGCAACCATGAGCATGGCTGATCTAGAGATAGCTGGACTGAAAGCTTTGGTGATAAATTGCTAGGGAGGTTTGAGAGAAAATTTGAAGTTTGAAAAATCCTAATATATTTATTTATTTATATTGCGATTTATATTCTGCCTTTTTCCTACAAAGTGCTCAAGGCAACTTACATCATCTCTCCTCCTCCATCTTATCCCCACAACAACAACCCTGTGAGGTAGGTTGGGCTGAGAGTCTGTGACTGGCCCAAAGTCACCCAGTTGGCTCCATGACTGAGCGGGGACTAGAACCCAGATCCTCTGAGTCCCAGTCCCATGCTCTTAGCCACTACACCACACTGGCTCTCAAAGGAAAGGAAATGTTCTGGAAAGCACCCAGAAGAAAATGGAGTAAGATAAGACTGATGAGAGATAATATTTGAGATCATGGCTAATAACAGATGCCATAAGAAAGGCCAAGTGAATTGCCCAAAGGGAATACCTGATACAATCAAGGGTATATTTTACCTAGTTTGAGGTTACCTCTTAGCCATTTATCAGCCCTGCCTTGGGTTTGTTTATACATTTATATAATATATATGACATGCATTGATTGCCACAGGTATTTGTTTATAACCTTGGCTCACTGTTGGTCTTACATGCAAGTTGCTTGCATCTAGTTGTGCATCCTTGTGGTGCTGTCCATGGTGCTATTTTAATGACCTTCTACATTGAGGTTCTCTCTTCCCTCACCATTGGTCTTGGTTACATTAAGTGTACCTGAGATCAGCCGGCCATATAAGCAAAATCTTATTGAAGCATTTTCCTTCCTCTCAGTCTTCTTATTGTTAATTAAAACCTTTTCATTCAGAAGATCCTTTGAGGAGAGTTAACTAGATGGTTACACTACCGTACTCCTGCAAAATTGAATTCCATTACTTTCTGGATCTGCTAAGGATCCATTGTGCTGCACCAGTCCATGCATTTTATCACACACTACAGTGATAAGTTAGTTTCTCTTCAAAGAGATACCGCTTTCCTTGGTTGTAAAGATGGAAGCCAAGAATGCAGGTATAAATCCAGAATGAAACACTGATCCAGAAAAACACCAATATCCTTATCCATCTCCACTATACTTATGATGACAGATATGTCATCATTTATGGCAGTACTTCCTTTGCTGTTAACCTAGCTTTCATATTGCTTACTCAGGCTGAGTTCATCCATGAAGTTTACCCAAGGAAAAGTGAAGTTGATCCAAGAGAAACTGGGCAAAGAATTCCTCCTGGCATACAAGACAGTCCTGTGCTGGAGAAAGTAAGAGAACTGGGATTCCCAGTTCCCTTGTCAGTAGCATGGCACCCAACAAAAATGTCCATGCCTGTTCTTATCATAAAATCATAGAAGAGTTTAAAGGGGCCAGAAGGCCATTGGGTCCAACCCCTGCTCAGTGCAGGACACCAAGTTAAACCAGTCTATTTCGTTTTACTTGTTTTTGTTTCAAATGTTCTCAGGGCTTTGCTCCTTATTCAGACCTCCTTTATCACAGAACATATGGCTACTTCTGCTCCACAGTAATACTAAAGTAATGGTTATGCTTTTCTCATTCTTGCACAAGGGACAGTGAGATGTTTTCACTGCACTAAAGAAATTAGTACCAGGCACTTTAATTATTCACACTCTGTTATGAGAAAGCTT